TTTTCAGTTGATTTAAGTTAGTAAAAAAATTTTGGCGGCGCCCGATATGTACAGCTTAATCGCAGCTTTCCCGACGGTGAATTTGCAAGCTTTGAGGTGTCATCGAAAACCGTCTCGTAAAGTACCTAAAAATCCGAATTGATCCAAATAAATGTGATAATTGTTCATTGCATATAATAGTGGACTTTTACTAAGAAAATCAGGAAAATCGGTGATGGGTCMAATTTTGCCTTATCCGTTCTTACACGGACAGCCTCTTAAGCCTTGAGAGAAAAATATAGTTAAAATTTTGGCAACAACTTAATCTTTCATTTCTTCTTTCCAGATATTTTTTCAAGCATATCTAAATTAACCTAGTCATTTCAAGCTTATGAATTCAAACTTATTTGATTTTTCTCTTATTGTTCTTTTTAAGCTTGTTGATAGCAAAATAACATGCTCAAAGGATGAATACATCGTTGATACAAATGGGACAGAATCCTGTTTACAATGCAATCACTGTCCTCACGGCCAGGGCCTCTCTCCTCCTTGTGGTAGCAAAGTMAACCACCCTCCTCCAATTGATTGTGTTCCATGTATACYTGGAAAAACCTACTCAGATGGACAYRACCCAAGTTCTTGYAAAAMCTGTCATCTTTGTTCTGCAAAASAAATAGTGATAAGRAACTGTACARTTTMTGAKAATACAATATGTTCCAATACATGTGAAGAGGGCTACTATTATGAGAACTTCACACATGACTGTCAACCATGTTCTGACTGCTGCAATAAGGGCAAGGACGTAAGGATCATTCAATGTAAAAGTATGCCATCAAACAAACAGTGCTCTGTACTTAGTACACGGCAGTGTAAACCAAAGCCCACCACAGCTGTAGTCACTGCTTATCCTAGCGGAACAACAAGTGTACCTGAGAAACCTAGTGGTGCCAAGAGCATTAGTACTGGAGGGATTGCAGCTTCTATTATTGGAGTTGTTGTTGCTATTATTTTAGTTGTTGTACTCATATTTTACAAAAGAAGGAAGAAAACTAAAAGAAGAAATAACAATCTTAATATCACAAATAACCCAGGAAACGAGGTAGCAATGGAAGATGGTGCTGGCATTCATTTACTTAACAACAATGAACACTGTGACCTTGATCATCTACCATGGAGTATAACTAATAAATCACCAAATGAAATATCAGAAGGACAAAGAATTTTGTTATCACTTACCTGTGATAATCAGAATGRTGATGTACAAGAAAACAATAGAAAATGCAACTTTGGTTTTAAATGGAAGAAAGATGGTGACAGTATATCAAAAAACAATCACAAGAACTCTTCCAAGGATCTTAGTATTGATGATGTTGAGGTAGCTGATTCTGGTCGATATTATTGTGAAATACATTGTATTAAACATCAAGACCACAAAGAAAATAGTCCCACCATAGAAATACATGTTAATCCTGGAGAAGGAAAAGGTATGTATATTTCATACATAGACATAGAATAAATTATTCTAGAAAATGTGCAGACAAAGTTTAGGAAAGTTTTATATTGTTGTGACCTTGTGCTGATCACATTTGATATTACCCATAGTGCAGTTTGGRCTTGGTATGCAACAAATTAAAAGTCAATTAAAAGWCAATTAATAGCTGTATACACCTTTTTTCAAAAAAGCATTGCCAGCCGATCTGAAACTTARAGGAATCTTTGTGCTTTTGTTTCCTGGCTAAAATTGCTTAATATCAATCACATGAC